TTTGATTTATTGATCATGAAAATAGAGTGGAGGACATAGACCTTGCCCCTTTACATAACCAAATGTGGAATCTGGGCAACAGCAGTCCATGGTCCAAGTCCAGCTGGGCAGTTTTTTAATGGGTTTAAATAGCTTGCTGCCATGTAATCTACTGAATTCCTACTATAGAGGAAATCTAATAATATCTAAATCCATAGGTTTTCTTTGGCTTTGTCAACTTGAAAGTTCTTGATCTTGATCTTGTCATAATTATAGGTTGGATTTTATCAAGTGCCAAAGCCAAAGCAGACAACTCCTCCTTTTTTTTTTCTTCTTTAGCTCTACCTTATTGAATATTGAAAGTAGCCTTTTAGATGATTCCGTAAAAGAATTGAAATCAAATTCTCAAACTAATGCTGCCTCCTCCCCATCAGAGTAATAACCCCTTGATTGCTCATGAAGAGAAGATCTCTTAACGTAGTCATCCCTTGTATATACCCTTCCTAGCTTTCAAGCCTTTTGAATTTCCTCCTTTGATATGCTTGGAATTACCCCCCCCCCCTTGACAATGAATATTCTTACGGACTGTTGTCACCATTTCTTGAGTAATGGACTTCGGCCTAGGACTATACCTTAACCCACTGGATTCCTCCCCAACATCCGATGAGGACTCATCTATCCCATCATCCGAGACATCTTTAGAAGAAGTAGAAAATCCATTCTCATCCTTCTCATCATTTAAATTAACAATGAGTTTTATTGTCTTGGAAAAATCGAACTGCATATCTTATGGTTCAGTTTAGTATTAAATTGACACGACATTATAATATAAAATGAATTTAATACAATACGAATATGAAAATAATATAATCTATTAATTCGAATATTAAATGATTTAGTTTAGTATTAAACTTATGATTAACCTAATTAATTAGCATTATAAGCAAAAAATATGTAAATTTATTATTATTATTTATTTCTTAATCAAGTATTATATGAATTTATGTAAAACTGGAACTAGAGAATTTTTCCCTTTCTTGCTATCATAGAAGAAGAGGGTATTTTCTTTATGGGAACCTACATTTTTTTTTTCTAAAGCCATCCAGTGTGGGTGGGAGGTTTGGCAAGACCCCTACCTGTATATATAACTAAATGGAAAAAATTACAAGGAAGGAGGATAGATAACCAAACCTCCAAAAAACAAACAAGAAAAACATGAAATCAAAGTGGGGACTCCCCACAGAACTAACTGAAAATAAAATAAAATCACCGATGTACATAAGGAGTCTGTCGAGCATCCAAGGCGAGGATGCCAGCAATCCCAGAAGGAAGAGATGACGAATCGGGAAATCCATGATTGAGCTGCTGAGAACAAGCCCAATTAGCCATGAAGTTGACAGCCTGATTCGCCTCCCGCCAGAGGTAGCAGACGCGAGCCGAAAGAGAAGCACATAGAAGCCGAATGCGAGCAAACAGGTAAGTATAAATCCAGCACCCAGTACCCTGAGAATAAACCCAAGAAACCACTGTAGCTGAATCAGACTCCACTACCAACTCTAAGGCTCCCAAATCTACGGCCAACTCCAATCTAGTACAAACAGCCTGCATCTCAGCATACAGAATAGGCTGATGCCCCAGAAACAAGCCAAAAGCCTTGAGAACCCGACCCTGGTGGTCCCGAATAACACCCCCTGTCGCAGACAACCCCGAATTGCCTTTAGAACAACCGTCAACATTGATCTTCAGGCAACCTGGTAAAGGCCGAGTCCAAGCAACCAAGCGGAGAGGCCGAAGCCGATGAACCAAGACCCTAAGAGAACCCACAAACTCAACCGACTCATCCCGACGCAACAGACTTGGAGCAAACCCAAAAGCAAGTCATATCAACTGCATATCAGCCATAACCCTTTGAACCACAACGGGCACCTAAAAAGCATGGCCATCAAACCTATAAGCATTATGCACTTTTCATAGGTGTCACAGAATAAAACACGGTAGCAGTACCTACACATGACCTATAGAAGGAGCACAACGCTGCCAACGAAGCATTAAAGCATAAGGAGATTGAAACGGCCAAGCTCTGATCCCAAACATCCGATAAAAGTGACCCCACACCTGAACTGCAAGCGGACAATGCAAAAAAAGGTGTCTAAGAGTCTCAATAGCCCCACCACACACACATTGGGATACTACATGGAAACCCCGTCTCTCTAAGCCATCATCTGTGGCCAAGAAACTATGAAACAACCGCCACATAAAGAAGGAGACCTGGGTCAGAATATGCCTCTACTAGACATAAGAAAACCCAACTCGAGCTAGAGCCACACTCCGAATATCAGCCCAAGCAGTCATCAAGGAAAAATCCCTATCCAAAGATAAACTCCACCTCATCTGGTCAGCCCCTTGATCCGGAATCAGAATTTGCATAATCTGCTCCACAACTGAAGAAGGCAAAACCTCCAACAATCGGCCTTTATCCCACTACTGACCCGTCCAATAAACAGAAACAGGAACTGCCCCTGGACAGATTAAAGCCAACGGATAATACCCTACCCAACAATCATACTAGAAACTGACCTCATCGGACCGTACTAACCATCTAATCTTTGGCTCGGCCACAGATCAAATCCCACACAATCGCCTCCAAAGAGGTGAAGCTGGGTAACGAAACTCAATCAACCCAGGATGGGTGAACCTACAGTACTTGGCCCTCATAAAAGTGGACCAAAGTAATTGTTGAGCACGAAAATTCTACCAAAGCTTCACCTCACAGGCCTCAGCTAAGTCAGAAAAAGAACGTGCCCCTAAGCCGCCCTCCTCTACAGGGTAACATACCTCAGCCCAGTGACACCAATGAATCCTCCGATGAGTAGCTGTGTCACGCCACAAGAAACGAGTAAACATCCTCTCTAACTGGTGGAACACATCCGCAGGAGGTCTTAGCACATGAAATAAGTGAATAGACATCCATGCAAGCACATGTCGAATCAAAGTGAGCTTACCTCCAAAGGAAAGCAAGTGATTCGCTCATCCAGAAATCCGCTCGTGCACTTTCCGAATCATCTCATCAAAGAATGAGATCCTGATGAAACCCAGTCTATACGCAAGAAGGGTGGATCTTTCACTTTGGGTTCAATCTTGAACACTCGAGTGCTACTGTAACTGTTTTTAAAGCCCAAATTCAGAATTCTGCGTTTTTGTGGACTTTGAATTACTTGGACAGTATAAAAATTCTCTTGCACATCAAATTATTTGGACTTTATTTGTTAATTATAATAAGTTCTAAGTAAAACGTTTCTTAGATTCTACCTTAAACTATTTTATAACAGAAAAGTTGAAGCACTACCCATGTAAGAGAAAAACTTCAAATGGAAAACTTGAAGCACTACCCATGTCGAGGTTTAGATTTCGAATCTTGTAAGAGAATTTTTATTTGAGCAACTAACTCATCATTTCAGTGTAGTTTGAGACACTTAATGCCTCGGTTTGGTAAAGTAAAATGAAGAATTAATATTAAAATTGCATATCGATTTTCTTTTTATATTAGTCTATTTATTTTTTTTGATAGTTGATTGAGAATCATCTAGTTATACATGTTTTCGATCGTAATTATGTAAACTTGAGATGTGAACCGTACCTAAAAATAAACACACATCGAATCAATTAGTACGTAGCCTTTGAAAGTCGAACTTTGAATCTCCATATGGTGACTCCTATGTCTATGCCATTGGAACTAGGTTGATCAGTTGATGGGTTTACCTATCTACTTTGTGCATGTGCTGTAATCTTCCCCTATAGGTGAGTATACAATATTTCCTCTAAAGCTTAACTTTCGTTTACTTGAATTCATACTTAGCCGTTGAGTAAGACCACCCCACTAAGAGTACAAGAAAGCATGTAACGCCATGCAACTTCCTCTCTATAAATACCATTATCATCAACCTCCATTCTCCATCCCATGCTTTCATACTTACTCATTTCCTCATCCAATTCTCTCTCTCTCTCTCGCAACAAAACTACAACAATATGAAGTGCCTAAAGGTCTTCTTCATAGTGGCCATGCTTATGGCTTTAGCCATTACTCTTTCAGCATCACCAACCCAAGAGGAAGTCTTAATCGACGACGATGAAGGCTCTGCAACAGAAAATTCTGATGTTCCATTGCCAGAAACAGTAATCAAAATATGTATTATAATTAAATTACCCTTGATTAGAGTAAATCAGTTTTAGCTTTGTTGAGGGCTTTTTGTTTTTTAGTACCCTAGTTAGTACTGTTTTTCAATTTTATATCTATATATCGGAAAGGATAAGAGATGACTATGGGCCGAAGAGTCGAAGTATGAGTAGCTGCCCACAATTTCACGGGGAAAAAAAAAATTCCCATTAATTTTACAGGAAATCAAAAGCGTCCTATAAAAGAAAATTTAATGGGCCCCACAATCTCACTTTCTTGTAATTTCTTCCTTTTTCTTACTAAACAAACAAGAAATAATTTCTATTTTTTTTTCCCTTTCTTGTGTTTTCTGGCATTTACTTGCTAACCATATGAACCCTAGCTTTATGGCATAAATTATGAGTCGAAAATTTCTAATTTTAGTAAAAATTAAATTTTATCTAACACATCAGCCGTCATGTTATTTGATCTCTTATTTTGATCCGTTTATTTGATTAGTGTAATATTACTCTAAAAATTAAAAACCGATCATACAAATAAGCTGTCCAAAAAACGTGCAGGGTCCAGGTGTTATAGTTGACCTTATACAGCAGGGTGTGGGTCTCTAGCGCAAAGTCTCTTGAAAGAGTAAAAGTCCAATATGGTTAACACCTAAGTGAGGGACTATGAAAACTACAAGTTAAGCTTTAGTTGATTTTAAGTTATATATATATATAGTCCTTGTTTTGATAATTTCTACTCATTCCGGTATTTCACAAACATGACAAACTCTCATCTGCTTCAAAATTTGTGAATTTTCACTTTGTCAATTTTTTATTTTTTGCTTTTTCCATTATTAAAAACAGTGATGGAGAACACTACATCAAGCCGAAATATTCGGCCACCAAAAGATGGGAAACTTATTACAATTCTTAGCATCGATGGAGGAGTTAGAGGAATAATCCCTGGAGTTATTCTCACATACCTAGAATCACAACTTCAGGTAATTTATATTTCAATTCATTGAACTTGTACTATCAATAAGAACTAGAAGCAAGAGCTATCATTGGTTTAATATATCACAGGGTTTTAATATTGAAATCTATGTTGTGGTCGTGGCGGTGCAGGAGCTAGATGATTCAGACTCAAGACTCGCAGATTATTTTGATGTGATTGCAGGAACAAGCACAGGCGGTCTCATAACGGCCATGGTGACTGCACCAAATGAACATAATCGACCTTTATATGCTGCCAAAAAAATAGTTCCTTTCTATCTTCAACACTCTCCTAAAATTTTCCCCCAAACCAGGTAAAAACAAGAAGACAGAACAACACAGTGGTTCATGGTTTTAATTAAGGTGACACTATAATTTGTATAAAGATGGTTACACAGCCCAACTCTTTGAATGTATTTTATTTTGAATCCTCAAATTAAATGATCACAGTGGACCACTTTCCAATATCATCTAGTTGATCAAGGCTTTATTAGGACCTCGTCATGATGGGAAGTATCTTCACAAGCTCACAAGGGGCATACTAAGTAGCACAAGGCTGCACCAGACTTTGACTAGCGTTGTTATTCCCACTTTCGACATCAGAAATCTCAGCCCTACTATCTTTAGCTCATACGAGGTGCTCTCTCTCTCTCTCTCTCAAAGTGTGTGACAGTGTGTAAAAAGAACCCAGTCCATTTCGGAGTAATATTGCAGCTAGGTTTGGCTGCTAATGGTGACATTGTTTTGTTATTTGTGTTACTTTTAAGGGTTAATCATCACTGACCAACCTTGATAATAAAAATATTTTTTCTTGTAGGTGGCAACTAACCCTCTCAAGGATGCCCTACTATCAGACATGCATCAGCATGTCGGCAGCGCCAACTTATTTTCCAGCCTATTATTTTAAAAATACTGATGAAGAAGGGAAGGAACAAGAATTCAAGCTTATCGACGGTGGTGTGGATGCTAATAATCCGGTACCTTATTCCTTTATTAGTAGATAGGATAGGCCCGTCTCCCAGTGAATCGTATTATGTACAGTTGGTGACGTACTCAAATTTGTTGAATCATACTCTGTCCATTTACAATCTTGTATTGCTGGGTTTGTGTCAAATCAAGTTTGTGTTGTATATATATCATTTTTTACGATGTTTGTATGGATCCATGACTAAACAGGTCTGACCATTTTACTTGTCTATCACCTCATGAGTTCACTAAAGCTAAATTAAACTTGCTAATTCCATGTCACAAGTCTACGGGTGTGTTTAGAATTGTCATGCCTATAACATAGCCCTCTGAATTATCTTATTTTGTATGCATATAATTCCAGACTTTGGTTGCGATTAGCGAAGTGACCAAGCAAGTGTTCAAGGAGAACCCAGACTTCTTCCCAATCAAGCCCATGGACTATGGTCGCTTCTTAGTAATCTCAATTGGGACAGGCTCTGCAAAGAATGAATACGAGTACAATTCTCAAAAGGCTTCCAAGTGGGGAATTTTAAACTGGGTATATATATTTGGCAATGGATCGACTTCATTAGTAGATGTTTTTAATGATGCAAGTGCAGATATGGTTGATTTCCACAACTCTGTGGTTTTTGAAGCACTTCATTCAGAAAATAACTATCTTCGAATCCAAGGTTAAGTACTCCATTTCTCTTGTGTTTCTCTATCTTTTAGTAGGTCTCAACCCCTAAAGGGTGAATTGAATTCAAGACTCTGAAAGATTTCAAGTTTTTTATTTTGTGCCTTTAAAAATTAAATTTTTTACATTGTATTAAAAGTGTTGCAATGTGACTCTTCTATTAACTTTCGTTAGTTTTTTCATCAGTGTCAAAAAGTTGACTTTTGACCAAAAAAATAACATAAGTTAACAGAATGGTCACATTACAATACTTTTGATAGATTGAGAGTGCAATGTAAAAAATTTAATTTTTGAAAATATTTAGAATGCGAAGTGTAAAAAAACCCACCCCAAAATTTGTGCAATTGAAGTGTTCATTTATTATGGAATACGTTTGCTGAAGGATGAAAAGGTTCGAGGTTAGGAATTCGGCCCTTTTCCATGGTTGAGTCTTCTCACTTGTGACATAGAGATTATTAGTTTAACTCTCCTCAGCATCCCTCCCCCTAATGATACCAAGTCCAACACAAAAATATTTTTTTTTAAAAAGGGAAAAAGCAACTAGGAATGGAATGGTTTATACTTTGGGAGAAGAACAAAAAATGAAATTATGAATAGGTCACAAAAAATTTCAATCCTTATATTAATCATGTGGTGACGCATCTCGTGACGTCCCTTTAATTTATTAATCATGAGGTGACACTATTTTTTTTTTAGCGGAAATGGTGAAGAAAATGAGAAACCTTACGAGGATGATGCATGAGCTTAGGGCTGACAATGGGTTGTATTATATTATGGTCACATCGTGTCTAAGTTATGATGTAATAAAATTTGCTCAATCCATTGTTAATGCTTTTATAATTGGTTATTGGGTTCATACCGTGTTATATTTGTGGCGTATATAAGTTGTTTTTTTTGAATTTGTATTGTATGTGTTTAGTTATATTTCTTTTGCCTTATTTATTTGACGGGTCTAGCGGACTATCTATTTAACATCTAGACCAAAAAGTAAACTCATACCCATTAATTCCTCTAGTTTCACAACCAATTTGTGAGTTGTATTTAAAATTATCAAACTTATGTACCTTGGAATAGGATAGTTAAGGGTAGAAAAAAAAAAAGGGAAAGAAAAAGTGCATAGTTATCTTTTTGGATGCATGGGTAAAGCTGTGCACTAAATTTGGAGTAATGCTATAGGGGTTTGATTTAATGATCTAATCAAATATCTAATTCAATATCAAAATTATATTATTTGTGAGTTCTAATGTCCAAATAATATTTTCTTAAATTTGTGCGTCGAGATTTATGCACCAAACGATGTGGCAGAATCTTATTTAGTGTCAAATAGTGGGACCCATAAATCTAACAACCTGCATTAATTGATTTGGTATTTGGTAGATTTTGGTGAAAATTTTGGTGTGTGTAAAATTACTCTCAATGCAAACTTGATAAATGTTGTTGTAGGATGACACCTTAAACGGGACCCTATCCTCTGTGGACGTATCTACAAAAGAGAATATGCAAAATCTTGAGAAAGTTGGTGAAGAGCTCTTGAAGAAGAATGTTTCTCGTTTCAATGTGGACACCGGCAAATACGAACCAGTTAAAAATGGTGGAACCAACGTGGAAGCTCTCAAAAAGTATAAATCTTTGGTGTTTCATGGCTTTTAATTCTTAATTTTTTAAACTATATAGGATCTCTTAGTGCTCACTTTGTACTAATACTATTTTTCTTTTTCTTGCAGGATTGCAAAAAAACTTTCAGATGAAATAAAACTCCGGGAGTCGAAATATATTGATGCTCATCAAAAACTTTAAATGAGTTGGGGTTATTGCTTCATCTATAAATTCGAGTTGTTCTTTATAGTTTTATGGTAGACGGAACTTGGTTGTGGTCTAGAGGTCTTTGTTTGCTATGATTTCAAAATCCCAAATTTTCATGTGAATTTTATGTAATTTTTTCCCTGGACTTTTGGCATTTTTCTATTTGGCACCCTTTTTTTTTTTTTTTGGTTTCTAGTTCTGTGCTTATTTATAATGAAGTAATATATGTACCCATCCATCATGATTAGTATTATTATTTGCTTACAAAGTTTTGGATTTTAAATATATGTTAAATCTCAGGTGAACTTATAGAAGAGCATGTTATTTTTCTCCACCAATCTAACATGGTCCTTAGCATAAAATCAGAAAATATTGGCGTGTCAAAGCTCTCACAAGTCCAAACTTCTAAACAAGATGACCTTACTAATATGGATCAATGTGAAATCCTAAATCATGACTAATACAACCAGCAGGAACAGAATGTAAATGAACAAGTCCCAAACGGCTTGAAAGAAAACAAGATTGCAATATATACTATAGTTGAAGAGCTTATGGTGTGATGACGTTGGGATCCCTTTTCTTCATTGTGTCATCCTTTCTATAGGAGTAGCCTTTAACCATTGAAGTTGTTTATTTCAGTCTTGTTGCCCATTTTAGGAAAGTCAGTTATCTATATGGTCCATTTCATTCTAGTAGTTAGTAGCCCACATTCTATAAAAACTAAAAACTTTTTTTTTTCACACGATTCGATTTCTTCAATAGCCCCTATTTCATTTGCTTTTTTCATTGAAGCCAAACTTAAACCTGTGCTCGAGACGTGTTTAATTCACTCGAGTAATGGCAAGTGAGGGGACACGAACTGACACTTGAATTAGAGCATGACACATGACCTCAAACATTAAAAGACCAATGTGGGTGATCAGTCTCAAAGGGGGGATCCAAAGGGAAAAGATACGTCTCAAACCAGAGCAATCAATGCTACACAAGGATATGGGACTTTCGTGATGTAGTGAATTACAGAGAATGATTGTTTTCATTGACGACCTTAGCGGACGGGTATTTCTCGAGGCACCTGTATTTAATGTTTAGTAACATTGCAATGACTGTTCGGCACAACTCAATAAATGTCTTGCAGAAGTCATTAAATGTTGAGGGGACATGTAGTAGGTGCTCGGCCTACTGAACAAGGTAATCATTGCAGGGCAAGGCTTTGAGGAGTCGTCGTGACCTTTCCCAGACCTAATAATAGTACGACTTGAAAAAAAAGTAGCTTATGAATGATTACCCCTATAAGGGCAATCTAACCGGCTTCGTGGGACCCCCAAACTACTATGTTATTACCTTTGAAAATATAAATAGTCCAATGAATGGTATCTCAAATTCGCAATCTATTTTAGGGGATAAGTTGAACACGCCTTCGCCCTCTTTTCTGACCCTGTTTGCTGTTGTAGGACATTCAGACACACTCACCTTGGTGCCACTATCTCAAATTATTGCAATAAATCACTTGTGCAATTTGACATTGTCGGTGGAAAATATTGAACCCAGTTTTTCCGCGTACCTGTCACCATGGTTCACAGACGCTCTCAAAGCAATGCAGAGGATAATCCTCGTGTGAGAAATGCCAAGAACAACCAACTTGCTGCTTTGGCAGCCTCTAGGTCCCTAGATTAGTCGAACGTGATCCACCGGATCATCCAGCCGAATCCACAAGACACAGATCCGACACTCGGGGGGTAGGGGGAGGACTCCTTGCTCGCTAGTTGATCGAGAAATATAATGTTAATATCATCAAACGTCTCAAAGAATTCGAACTCTCGACTAGTCAATAACATACGTATTTGTATGCCATCTAAGTTTGTAAAAATTTCAAGACACACATCTACCGACTAAGTTTTATTATTAACTACCAAACTTGCAGGATGATGCTTTAACTAGGAACCTCTGATTGGTCGATTTTTCCACAAAATAGAATTTGAAAAATCTTGTGAAAGTTGGTGAAAAACTGTTGAAGAAACCAGTCTCTTGCATGAATCTGGACACCGGTCGGTATGAACCACTTGAAAATGGCGGAACCAATATGGAAGCACTCAACAAGTATAAATCCTTTGTATTTCATACATTTGAGCTCTTAAATCTTGTGCTTCCTGGTGCAGATGGAAGGAAACTTCTGGAGTCAAAATATATTGACATCCACCAATTGAAAATGAGTTGACAATATCTTTCCATTTTTACCTCAATTTTTGTAATGGAAGAAATATAATCAATTATGTTTAGATTTCAACAATGTTAAAACACAAATGAGCGGGTTGGGTTTTTTTTCTTTTTTCTTTTTTATTTAGTTCTTCTCCACTCCAACCAAGCAACTATCTCTGATACTTAGTATCATTTGGGAATGAGAGTTTGTCCAGTTCCAAAGTGATGTGTGAACTGGCACCAGAATCAATAAGTCATATACCCAAGTTGTCGTGAGGTGTGTTGTAAGAGATCTCAATCATGGCACTAGTTGTGAGCTAGGATGAGGGACCATGACTTTGATAAGAATAATCCTTGACCAGGGATATGTTCCCCGTGACTGTAACATGAAACTGAAAATGATACGGTTTTTTAACATTGGAAGTAACAAGTTATTAGTGTAAAAATGAATAATGAGAAGTGAACGCAACAAACCCATTTAAAAGGATTGTAGGAAAAAATGATTGATTGTATTTATTTTTCTTTATTTCTTGATATGCTTAACTTGTGCATTTAACACTCCCGTGTCTAGCAAATTTTTCCTCTTAACGAAATTCACATATGTCAAGAGCTACTCAAATTTTGTTTAAGAGCTATTAAAATTATTTTTTGTCCATATTTAGCTATTACGTGACAAGTTTATGATAAAAAATCATTAGCAATCTAGACGTTGTCTGCTTGAAGGACCATATAAAAACATATTCAATACTTCAGGGACTAAAATGATGCAATTGAATTATTGGGAACCAAAATAAGACAAACTCGTACTTTGGGGACCTCTAGTGCAATAAACCCATTTGAAAATGATTCTTTTGAAGATGAAACCCCAATTTCAGAGTTTGAGTTTGAAAAAATTAGATTAGGTCGTATGCTACAAAATGTAAGAAAAAACATAAGTGAAGATTATATTATGCAGAAAATAGCAGAGACCCTTCCCACCACCTAGGATTCTGCAAAGGAAAAAATTTTTAATGACGACCGACCAACCTGTGCGATACACTTTATACAATTATTGGCCGAAGCGGAGCGCAAGATCCATCCACTTTGAATATAGTTTGAGACAGAGAAAATGGATCCATAATTATATGTCATAGACCATATAAAAAAGAAAGAATTATTATTTAGAGAACTGAGACAAAAAGGTTTCGGTCTAAATAATCCAATAATGTTGTACGCTGTTGTTAACACGCTTCTATCTTCGTGGCCGATTGACTTCATTCATATGAAGTTTAAGAATGACTTCCTACATATGATAAAATTGGAGGATCTGTTAGAGGAACATGAAAATGATTTAATCTGTTTACGAGCATTAGAAGACTGGGAGGCTCAACAGAGGAACAATGAACATCAAAACTTATGAAGCAATACTTTTCAGGTAACTATGTTTTCTCAATCTTTTTATTATTTGAATGTGGATAAATTGAAAAAAATATTTGTATGTTTTTATAGAATGAAAAAAATCTAAATATATTATTTTTTATGAATACAGGTTGTGTTCATTCTTTTGGAAGCTGGAGGAATCTCAAATGGTAAAACTTATTCCTTTGACAGCATTTGTGAATTTATTTTTATTATGTAGATGGTTGCATTTGTGGATAATTTTTTGTTTGAGATATTTATTATATGGGTGAATTGAGTTTATAATTATGTTTGGTTATTGAATTGGATTATGGTAAAGATGACAAATACAAAAAAAAAATTATTGATTTCATTTATTACTTAAAAATTGTAAATTTGATTTGGTTCTATTAGAATTTTTTTTTTCACTGATGTATTTTTATATATGTTGTTGCTTGGGAGAATTTTTTGTTCATTTTTTACAAGTAACGCAGTGCCTTCAAGCACGAGTAATTACTAGTATATCATATATTACTCTAGCACTAAGAATCCTATGAGTTTTTTGTTGAGACTTATTTATATGTTTGAGTGAATAAATGAAATAAGTTAATACTTGTTACTATTAGAAAAGGCTATTGTTCGAATAGTTGTGGTCCTTAGAGCAACTCCAAGGGCCTCAATAAACCCCCGTCTTAGCTATTTTACATAGTCAGTGCTTAAATCTTGTCTCCAACAGACTAGCTATCTTACTAGCTATTTCCCATAATCTTCATTGGCTGGCTATTGTTGGCGAGGGAAAGAGGCTAGCTATTGTGTTTTTTGGCCAACAACAACCCCCAATTTCTCCTTTGTTGGTTGTCTTCCTCAATTAGATAGAGGGGTCTTCGCAAAGGCTCCACCGACTGAAGGCTTTAGTGCATAATCGTCTTCATAGTATCATCACAGCATTGTCGTCATCCAGCGTACATCCATCGTCTTCATCCAGCATTGTCTTCATCACAGATTGTGTTCGACTTCTACCAATCGTGTTAGACTTCAATCGATCCATCGTCTTCACCATCTGATGGATAGTGATTGTGGATTTGAAATAGTTAGGATTTGTTTGATTCATAAATGTTAGATCATTTCTGGGTTTGTATGAATTTGGGGATTTTACCATCTGTATTTTTATCGATGGGCTTTGTATAAGAAGATTAAGAATTGAGGTAGTAAAAAAATCTAACAAAACTCCCTCAAATATTCAGTAAAATCCCCAAAAAAATCAGGAAATCCCACTAAATTCAGTAAAATCCCTCCAAAAATCCAACAAAACCCCCAAAAAAATCCAAAAATTTAGCAAAATCCCCAAGTATTTTATGATATTTACTCTTGTAGCACATAATTGATTAAATTTATACAATGTATAGTTGAACTGCTATTTTTTGAATTTTATTATTGAAAGTTAGTTAAAGTTAGTTGAAGTGGATAGCTAAAATAGATAGCGTAATTGGAGTGAATTGGAAAAAAGTGATTTAAATATTTTTGAATAGCCATTTTAGATAACATTGTTGGAGTTGCTCTAAGGGAGAAAGACAGTATTTAAAGAGTTATTATTA